CGGCTTTAAAAAAAGACCCCCACCCACCCCCACCCCCACCTTAGTTCCCCCGGGGGGGGGGGGGAGCGGGTGGGCTGTTTATACTAGTTGTTTGGGCATTCCTTGTATCCCACCCAGAATCTCTGGGGTGAGATGTGAGCGGTGTATAAATCTGATAAATCCATTCCATTTTCCCTGTCAAACATCCAGAGAAATACGCCTGTGTTCACATCTCTAACAGGACATCACAAGCCTTCCAAGTTTCTGTACATATATCAAAACCCCGACTGGACATTCATTCGAGGGGTTCTTGCTGTGTTTAGCAACCCACCTTCAACTCCATATTCGTGCACCATGTTCCGCAGTACAAGCATGTTCACATTTTCTGTAAACTGGCAAAAGTACAATAAAATTTCTGTCTTGCATGGTTCCTCCATGACCTGTGGAGGAGCAAATATTTGGGCAGTGCATCCCATCCGGCATGTAGCTGTAGTGCCCTCCCCTCCCCACAGGTAGATCCCCCTCCCCATCTATGAAGGTGAACATGTTCCCTCTAAGCCAGGTGCTGATCTCAGGGGATAAATACCACAACTGGTCAATGTTTCTATACACAAAGCACGAAGTTCTTGCCAAATGAGATGGGTTACTAGACTCAGAAACTGTATTTCTCTTTCTTTAATACAATCCAAAAAGCAAGACTGCGTAATTGCTGTGGAATTCCAAGTACAATGTGTATCCTGAAAATGAGGGAATTACCGAATTTAACATGTAATAAGAAAATCCAATCCAATCAATGGTGTCTTCTTAACCCAGGCCTCGCAATTAGACCAGACTAGGAAAAAGCAGTGGGAAGCCACTTTACCACTGTTGCCCCCAAAACTGTATGGTTGCCGGAAGCAAGGAAGCTACCAGCTCAACACATCATCCAGAGGGTTCCCAGAGGTTGAACATGGTTACGTTAAGGGGTCACCTTTCCTAGATATGTTCAGGCTCCCTGCTGCAAAAGCCTCTACTGGAACAGATCTCCTCTCTGGATCCCCCAGGCCCACCCTGCAGCTCTTCTAACAGAAATGCTGTGTGATGGGGCCTTCCATCGCATCCCCCGTGCCAAGCGAGGGAGAAGGGTCTGGGTCCTGCTGCTGCCGCCGCCAGCCTCAAAGCAATGACCTCACGGGCGCCCTGAAAGACCACCGGCCCACAGGCCCTCCCTGTCACATTTGAAGCAAGCGTGCCTTGGGGAAATCCAGTGCAGTGCTGTGGCTCAGGCCAGGCCTGCTTAACGCTCACCTAAGCATAACCAACTAAGCTTAGTGCTCTCCTGCGCAATGGAGTAGCAACACAGATCTCTGGGAGCAGCCATTTTGAAGAAGCAAGGTCACCGGAGGCAGCAGCCTTTAGGACAGCCCATCCCACCTGCCCCAATTCTAGCTGGTCAAGAGTCCTCCTTCAAGCACCCATGGTCCTTGGCCAGGATCCTCCAGGTAGGAGCGCTTGATGATCTGGCCTCCACCTCGGCTTGGAAAAGGGAGAAGCTGCCCCTGGTGAGCAGGGCTGGGGGCAGCCAAGAGCTTTGAAGGCCGGGTTCCAACGGCCTCTGCCTGGACCAGAATGCTTCTCAGTCACGGAAAGCCGGCCGGCCGTGCCTTGGGAAACGTTTCTGCTCCCCAGGGTCCCCTTCGGTTGCCCTCCTGCCACCGCTTCTCCTCCTCCTCCACAGGAGGGACCCCGGGCGGAAGGAGAGCTGCGCCCCCGGGGCTCCCCGGAGGAAGGCTCTTCGGGGCCTCCGGGTGCCCCTCCCAAGATGGGCGAGGTGCAGGCGGGTCAGGAGGCGTCGGGCCCCGGGAGGGCGGCGGGAGGCGCGGGGTCGTGTCCGGCGGCCTCGTAGTCGGTGATCCTGCGCTGCACCAGGGAGGGCATCAGCTGCACGTAGGCGGCCATCAGGCGGTGGTTGGAGCGCACCAGCTTCCCGGCGCAGCCGTCCAGGCAGGCCTCCTGCGGGGGAGAGAGAGAGGGGGGAGGGGAGGGGGGGCTCGCTCATCCCCCACCCCCATCGTGGACCTCACACACACCCCCAGCCCCTCCCCCGGCCCCGGGCTCCCCTCCTGGCGGGTGAGGGCGCGGTAGTTGAGGTCGGCCACGCAGCGCTGGAAGCAGAGCTCCGTCATCCGGTTGTAGACCAGCAGGAAGTCCCGCAGCTGCAACGACAGCAAAGCTTCAGCCGCCCGCCCACCCTCCCTCCCGGGGAGAGGGGGAGGGGAGGCGGGGGGAGGGGAGGGGAGACGGCTCACGCTGCGCAGCTGCTGCGACTCCGGCGCGGGGTCCTCCATGCAGGCCGGGCGCTCCCCTCCGCTCCCCGTGACGCCACTTCCGCCCCACGACGTCGCTTCCGGTCTGCTTGCGCTGGGGCCGTCGCGCGCCCGACCGACGCCGGAGCCCCCGGGGCCGGCCCGCAGCGGGTGAGCGGTGCCGCCGGCCCCCTCCTCCCCGGGCCGCGGGCGGGCGGTCTGTGGCCTCCTGGGGCGGCGGCGGCGGCGGCGGCTCCCGGCCCCGTCCGGCCTTCTTCGTCGCGGCTCTTGGCCGGCCGGAGTTGCGGGCGCAGCGCGGGGCGGCTCCCCTGGCAGCGGCTCTCGCGGGGCGGGCGTCGGGGGGCGGCAGGAGGCCTCTCCGCCGCGGAAAGCGGGGCCTGATTTGGACCGGACTCCGAAGTCCTCGGCTCCCGATAGCGCCGCCGGGAAAGGCTGGCTGGGGCCGCCGCCGTGGCTGCCGGGGCCGGCGGGGGAGAGAGAGGAGGGGAAACGGGGGAGGGGTCCTCGGCCGCCGCTTCCCCCACCCTCGGCCTCTCCCTTTGCCCGGGGCTCCCCGGGGGCTGCAACACCGCACTTGCCCCGGGCTCAGCCCCCTGGGAGGAACCGCCGCCGCCGCGTCCTCCGCGGAAGAGACGGGAAGGGGGCCGAGCCCGAGCCCCTCAACCCCCCCCCCGTTGCCCCCCAGGCACCCAGCATGAGCGAAGGACCGATGAGCAAGGCAGCCACCATGGAGATCCCCATCCACGGCAACGGAGACTCCAGGCGCTTGGCCGATGACGACGGCTTGGAGCAGGTATGGAAGAGGGGAGCGGGAGGAGGAGGAGACGGCGAGGGCAGAGGAGATCCTGGCCCCCTTCGCCCTAGGGAGAGCGGCCTTGGGTGGGAGGGAGGCAGGGGGGAGCAGGAACCCACCCGCCCCCTCTGAGGTCCCCTCCTGCAGAGCCCTGGGCAGTCCAAAAAGGTGGGTGGGAGTTTGGGGAGGCCCTCCAGGTCGCTTCTGTTTGGCCTCCGAGGAAAGCAGCCGTCTGAAGGTTTGCCAAGCAGAAGAGGGAGGGGACCCTCTGGCTGCCCAGAAGCCACTCAGGGAAGGGGGCTCAGGCCAGATCTAGGAGCCAGTGGCCCAGGCGGGCACGGAAGCGGGCATTTCGTCTTTCCTGGAGGCTCCCAAACAGAAGGGAGGACATGGAATAACAGAGTTGGGAGGGGCGTTGGAGGTCTGAAGCAGGAGACCCCTCATATCATTTCAGACAGGTGCTTGTCCACTGCTGGAGCCCCCACAGCTTCTGAAGGCAAAACCTTCCACTCATTAATTGCTCTCACTGTTGGGAAAGGCGGGGACCCACTTATCAGGGAGCGCTTGGGGGGGAGCAGAAGGGGGTCGAACTTGTTCAGGGTGCCGAATCCTCCAAGAGGCGGAGCTCTAATGACAGTCTTGTCCCTTTCAAAGGGACCAGGAGGTCCTTTGCAAAATCCTCCCCTGGTGGACCGAGCCCTGAGCAGGGGCTGGACTAGATGCTCTCTTGGGGGCATTCCAGTGCCGGCTGTAGAAGAACACTGCTGTGTGCCCTCCCGCCTGATAGCTTTGGCCCCACGGGCTGCCTGAAGGAAAACGGCCGGTTGAGAGGCCTGGGGGGGGGGGCAGTGGCTGAGGAAAGGGGGCCCTTCCTAAAGCTTGGCAGTTTTTCAGTGAGTGGCGAGATTCCCGTCATCGACAGGCCAGCAGCCAGAAAGGTGCCACCTTGTGTCGCCTGGGGTTCCTTGCGCCTGGCAGAGCCCTGTAGGGGAAGCAGCTGGCAGTTTGGTTCTCCCCCCCCCTTCCTTAGGACCTGCAGCAAGTGATGGTGTCGGGGCCCAACTTGAACGAGACCAGCATTGTCTCTGGAGGCTACGGGGGAACAGCCGAGGGCATCGTCCCCACCAGCATCATCAAAGGTCAGCATTTGCAGGGGCTGATGGGGCTGCTTGGGGAGGGGGGCGCCTGCTTGGAAGCCCCCTCCTCTGCGTAGGCAGCCATGTCCGTCTCCCCAGAGCTCCAGAGGGGAGAGGGAGGGGGGCGGCTTGGGGAGGGGATCTCACTGTCTCATGGATCCTTTGGTACGCAACCCCCCATCTCGCCCCCTCATCTCCTTGACCATGTGTCACGCTCATCGCCTGCCCCCTTGTGTCCTCTCGCCCCCTCTGGTGCGGCTCCCTGCCCTGCCCTCCTCTGCCCTCCATTTCAGGCTCCCTCGTTCCATCTCACCCTCCCCGAGGACCACTCATCCCCCCCAGCCCTTCGGCTGCCAGCCGCATAGCCAGCCAGGCTCCCGTGGCCACAGGTATTGTCCTGCGTGGGGGGGGGGGCAGGGAGGGGAGGGGGAAACCTGTGAGGAAATGGGGGCTTTGCAGCCCTTCCAGTGGGGGAGTGTGTGGGAAGGGGGTCGCCGTCTTTCTGGTGGGCATCCTTTCTTGCCAACTGCAGGCTCCAACTTGCACCAGCCCCACCCCAGCCCAGCCATGACGGGGGAGGAGGCGGCGGCGGCGGCAGCTGCTGCCACACGAGGGGTAGCCGTGGAGAAGTTCGACATTGTCAGGAAATGGGGCATCAACACCTACAAAGTGAGTCCCCTTGGGAACGGGGGGAGGCACTGAATGGAGCCCCGGGCATTGCGGGGCTACCGCTGGCTTTTCGAGGGCCCCGTGGACGATCTCGAAGACGAGTCGGCTTGTGACGTCTGGTGGGGAGTGTTTACTCTCTTGTCATTGCACCTCATAACCCGAAACTAAATGCCATCTTCGGTGTACGTTATAACTATAAAAATAAAGCGCCCACACACGTATCATCCGTGTTCCGTACAAATGAATTGAAAACCTGATGTTGCGTTAATATTGCACTATGCAGTAAAACTCAGTACAGTTTCTGCCCTGGGAGAGAAGCTGTTTTTCAGCCCACTGTCTGTCCTTGTTTTTATCGTCCTGTACCGTCTGCCAGACGGTCATAGTTCAAAACGAAAAGGGTGCCCAGAATTAGGTGGATCTCTAAGAAGGTTTTGAACTTTCTTAAGGCAGCGGGGGGGGGGGGGGGGGGGGGGGGGGNTGTGTGTGTGTGTCTGTGTGTGGGTGTGTCTGTGTGTCTCTCTCTCTCTGTGTGTGTGTGTGTCTGTCTGTCTGTGTTAAAATACTATTCATTTTTTGTGAATTTTAAATATTAACTTGTCATTCTCCAGTAGGCTGTGCTTAAAGTACATATTTGAAAGGTGTCTGGATTTAGTTATAAAAAGTATTTATAAAAAATAGATAATATTTTATGTTAAATTATTTACATGAGAAATGAACTTTTTTTAGAAATTTCAGAAAGAAAAAAAGAAAGAAAGAAAGAAAGAAACAGAAAGAAAGAAACAGAAAGAAAGAAAGAAGACAGAAGTAAATATTTTATTCCTTCCATGTTTTTCATTAGAGGCATAGTGAAATTAATCAGGGTCATTACATGGGTAGTCCTCAACTTTGACCACAATTGAGCCGAACATTTCTGTTGATAAATGAGACAGTTTTTAAGTAAGTTTTGACCTGTTTTACATCTTCTTGCCACAGTTGTTAGATGAATCTTTGCACTTCTTAGGTAAGTAACATGGTTGTTAAGGAAATCTGGCTTCCCCACTGACTTTGCTTGTCAGAATGTTGCAAAAAATGATCACATGACACTGGGATAATTTAACTGATATGAATCAGTTGCCAAGAATCTGAATTTTTATCATGTTACTAAAGGGAAGCTGCAATAAACATAAATTTGAAAAAATGGTCATGTCACTTTTTTCAGTGCCATTGTGATTTTGAACAGTCACTAAAGGAACTGTTTTAAGTTGAGTTACCTGTATAATGTACTAAATACATGCTTATGAAATGGATTTTGTTCTCCCTCTCTCTCTCCCTCCCTTTTCAGGAACCCAGATTTATTAATTGTATGAAAGTGAGAATATCTGAATTTTTTTCAGGCTTAAGCTATGAGATCACCAGAACTTTCAATGATGTCTGTCATTCTCATTTAATTGAACCTGTTACAGAAATCTTTTTTGCCAATCTGCCTCATACTTGGCAAGTTTGTTATATAGGCTGACTAAGAGACTAGCTAAATATCACTTAGTTGGAGTAACCAGTTACATATCTCACACAGATCTCCATTTAAAGAATTTTACTTTACTTTTTATTTTTTTATTACTATTACTTTAAATAATTTTACTTTTATTTTACTATGATAATTGATAAGGTGCTATTTAGAAGATTGTAGAAGGCTCATAAAATGTGATTCCTTGCTGATAAACCACCTTTAAGGCCAATAATAATCTTTTTCCCCAAAAGGCCAATAATAAAATAAACCCATGACTCAATAAGAAACTAGTACAGCACAATGAATTTAGCCTGAACTGAACTGACATTAATTTAATGTACTTTCACTAAGAGTACATTATACATTATACAAAATAGTATACTTGTTTTTGTGTCTGATACTATCCCTTGCTATCCTCTTATGCTGTAAATTATGCTTACTAAAGTTTGTACTTTGACTTGTATATTGTTATATATTACTACAAATAATTATTTTGATTTAGAAAAGAACTAGTCTGAAGAAGATACAAAGCAAACCAGTTGTTACAATGGTTGAATCCCATTACTGCATAGAACCCTCTTGAGGTTATTGCAAAGCATGGCTTTTATGTGCTTTTTTTCTTCCTAGTTTTCAGATATTTTCAACAAACTGTAATCTTTCTTCTGCAAATGCATAAAATGGGCTCTACTTATTTTGTTTATGTTTAATTTATTACTTTATTCAGTTCATTTCAGAGGTGGTTCCTATCAATTCAGCCCAGTTCGGCCAATTTCTATTGAACTGCACATGCGCACACAGCAGGGACCTGCAGTCACTAGAGGCAGGAGAGACGGGGCTTCAACAGTCTCCTGAGGGAAAGGAAAGAATTTTAAATAATTCTTTAAAAAATAATTAAAGCCAAGGTAGTTGCTACCAGANGGGGGGGGGGGGAGAAGTCACAGCTGGGCATGAGCTCTGCCCAGGGGGGGCAGGGGCCTCTGACCCCTCCTGCTCGGCCAAACTCTCGGCTTCCCTTGCCCCTGGCCCCTCCCGTCCTTCCTTTGTCCCCAGCGCCTCTCCCGGCAGCCCCAGGCCCCAGGGACCGGCTTCCCCTTCTGGACGTACACGGGTCCCCCTCGAAAAGCCCAAGCCCCCCCTCCCTCTTGCGACCGGCTGGGAGACGGGTGGGAGCGGTCTACCCGGAGGGCACCAGAGGGCATAGGTCCTGCCGTGGGTTCCTGGTGAGGAAAGGGGTGCCTGGTGCCAGTCGGCCTGGCAGGAAAGGCTCGCTCTGGCGGGGGCAGGGGGTCTCTGGGTGACCAAGGCATACCATTCTCCATCTACAAATTTGGCAATGCAGAAGTCCCCACGACGGGGTGTGTAGGCCCCCTCCACGGGGGGACAGGCAGCAATCTCGCCCCGCATGCTCTCCATCAACTTCTCCAGCTGGGTCCCTGCGGGGGGGCGGGGGGGGGGGTTAGAAGGGGAGGAAGTGTGAGTCAGGCTGGCCAGCCCCCTCCCCCCCCCAAACCTAGCCTGATCATCCCCCGGGCACTGTGGCCAGTTCTTGTGTCCTGGCCTCCCCTCCATCCCCCCTCCCCCGGGACCATCTTCCCCAACCAGAGCCCCCAGCTGCCTCTGCCCCCTAAGCAGCCCCACCCCCAGCTGCCCCTCACCCGTCTCCACATCCTGCACGTAGAAGTGGAGGTCGTCGGTGACCTCGGTCACGAAGACCGGCTTATAGTTGGCCGTGCGCTCCTTCTCCTCGACTGTGGGCACCACGTCTTCCACGGGGGGCTCTTCGTACTGTGACCACACCTGGGGAAGAGAGGCGTGGCGGGGAGGGGGCTTAGCACAGCAGCCCACCCTAGGGGAGAGCCAGCCCGCTTTCCATGCTAACCCAAACTGCGCAGCCGAGTCTTCCAGGCGGGGAGCAGCACAACTGGCCCCCCCCCCAACATTTGAACGCTGATTATTCCATTGGTTGCCCATCACCAAGGATTTAACTCTTGGTGGCCGATGGGGGCCCTCCAGCAACCCCCCCCCCGAGGCCCCCACCAACAGCCTTCTGCCCCGCACCCACCACTGCCCTCAGCAGCTGCTCCAGCTTCCCGATGCTGTCCCAGGGCAGCCCCACATGGGGCCCACGGCAGGGAATTCGACTGTCCGAAGACCCTCCTGCCCCCCCCTCCCGCCCCCGGTCCAAGAAGAGGCACAGCTGGCACACCAGGCGACCCCTCCTGGCCACGGCTGCCCCCCCCCACTCCTCCAGCAACTCACGCCGACTTCCACCAAGCGGCCCCTCGTGCTCAGAAGCCACCGTTGGATCCTCCCTGGGGGCCCCAGGGGGACAACCTGAGGGGGCCCATTGGCTGTCTGGGCAGCCCATCTTAAGTGGGGGGGGGGCTGTGGCCTGGGGCTTATGAACCTTTCAGGCCAGCAAGAGAATGGGAGGGAAGGGCTTTCCCCAGGGGAAAGGATCCCCCCGATCCCCTCCCCCGCCACAGGGGCCCCACTCAGCCGTCCGAAAGGCACCCGCTTCTCTCCTGCCCAGCCGATGCCGCTTCTCAGGAGGGAACCTCTGATCACCACCAGCCCAATCTCCTTCCTCCCCCTGGGGGAGAACCCTCCCCATCCTCCCCAGCCGCTCTTCATGGCCTATTCCTATGCAGCTCCCACCGGCCCTGCCTGGTTCCCCCACCCGCAGAGGGCGGCCCTTTATTGGGCCTATTGGGGGTCTTTCAGCAGCCCCTCCCCACCGGAAGACCCGGGGAGGGAGACGGCCCCAGGCCCAAAGGCCTTCCCAGAGGCCTTGTGGGGTGAAGAGGGGGGAGCCCCTCCGGCTGCTTATTTAATTTTAGCCGTTCTTTATCTTCCAATGGAAATGAAGTTATCATTCGGTTGCTTTGAATGCTGACTTCTCCCCTTTGGTTCTCTTAATGCCACCGGCTGCCTAATTGGCTGGAAGCAGATCAGTCCCCTAAAGGGGCAAACAGGCTCCCCACCTCCTGTCGCTGCCCCCTTTCCTGGGCAGCTCTTGAGAGCAGCTCCCTCCGCCCATCTTCTGCCCGGGAGCCAGAGAGGGGTCAGGTATGACAGCCCCCCCCCATTTCCTTCCCTGGTGACCTTCAAGGTCCCCAAGGGGCCCCTCTTGAAAAGTGGGGGCAGAGGGAGAGATGCAACCTTCAAACGGTCATTTTCTGCACCGGAGCTCCTCTGGGCCAGTTCGGGGAGCAGGGGGCACAGGGGGCACAGAGGGGCAAGAGAGGGGCCTGCCAGGGGCAGCCACAGCAGCATCAGGGGGGGCAGGTGGGGGGGGAGTGTCCAGACGGACCCAGCACTCAGGGGTGGGGGTGGGGGGGGCAAGAAACTGACCAGATGCTTGCAAGGAAGATTCAGACAAGCTGGTCGGCCTGAAGCCACACAGGGGAAAGCAGGCCCCCCTCCCCCCCTTGGCAAGGCTGCTGCTTGGACCCTTCCTGGAGGGTTCCCTGGCAGGCTGCCCGAGTGGGCAAAGGGTCCCTAAGATCCGCTGGGTGCAGGAGGGCAAAGGCGGGTGCTGCCCCCCCCTCCGCCCCCGTGCTTCTTGGCAGCAGTGGGTGAGGACCCCCAAGCCCCTTTCAGGTGGCAGAGCTTGGAAGGGGGGGCCCTGGGAGCGAGCCCTCTCCAGCCACCCCAGCTCAGCACCCCCCCGTTCCCCCCCCGGTGCCTGAGTGGTACCTTCTCCTTCTTCTGCTTGGCGGCGGCCTCGGCCACCGTCAGGGGCTTGAAGTAGTTGCTGCGCTCGGCCGTGAAGTGCACTTTGGAGAGAGCCTGCTCCACCAGGGCCACCGAGAGGTTGAGCCCCTCGATGTGCAGCCAGCCAATGAAGTTCCCGGCCTTGTCCATGCTCTCCACCTCCACCTCCACCTGCGAAGGGGACAAAGCAGCCGGCAGCTGTGGGGCAGCCGAGGCAACGAGAGCACTGCCGCCCCCCCCCCAGCCGTGCCATCGGCCCCACAGAGACACCCTCCGTCGGGTGGGGAGCCCCCACCAGTCCCCCAGCCCAGGCTTCCTGCCCCCCCCGTCTCCCCCTGAGGAAAGAGCAGCCCACCCCCGCCCCAGACGGCAGCCGCTGGTGACTTTGCTCAGAGCGCCAGACGGAGGGCGAGCAAGAGCCGCCAGGCAGCAGAGGGGCCGCCCTCCATCCGTCTTGTGAGCCCACCTGCGCAGCGGCCTCTCCCGGGGCAAGCCTCCGCGTGGAGCCTGGGCGGCAGCTTTTGGGCCTGGCCTCTGCTGCTGCAGGGGAGGGGCAGGAGCCCCCTTGCAGAAGAGCCGCCCTGAAAGCCCCCTGAGCAGGAGGGAGGAGAGCTCTCGGATGGCTGCCCCCTCCCTCCCTGCCTCCACCCTCCATCCGGGCCAGAGGGCACCGGCCTGGCTTGCCATAAAACTCGGCCCTCCTGGCCGCAAACGCCTGTATTCATTCCAGCCGTTTCAAGCCACGTTGAACTGGCTCAGAGATCATTTTAGCCCACCACCCAAAATCCACTTGGGGAGGGGACACCAGCCCAGAGCCCCTCTCTCAGGGCAGGCTGTCCCACGGCTTCCCAGTCACGGCCGAGGATGCCCTGGCCTTTTTTCGCTTCAGGAGGGAAGGCAGGGAGAGAAGAAGCAAGCAGGCCCCTGTGGCTTCCAATCCACGCTCCCCCCCTCCCTGGAGACCCCCCCACCCCCCCAGCCTGTGGATGAGCAACAGACACCCCCCACCGCCAAGACCGTGCCAGGCCCCAGGACTGCTTAGAGCTCCTTTAGGCTCCCTTGCCATGGCTTTGCCCCACGTCCAGCCACCTCCAAGCCTCCCTCCCTCCCTCCCTCAGCCGCTGGGGGCCCCAGCCAGCCAGCCCAGGGCCAGGGCAGGCCTTCCGCAAAGGAAGGAAGCGTGGCCTCCCCGTGGCCTTCCCGGGGGCCTCCCCACCCCTATGGCTGCCCTGGCACGACTGGCCCACCAAGGCCTCCTCTGCCACCCATCACAGATGCGTGATGGGTGGCAGCAGCCCCTCTATGCTGTCTCCTGCTCCGCCCATCAGACGAGGACAGCCTGGAGGTTGCCCATCGGGCTCAGGGAAGCACAGGAGGAGGAGGAGGAGATGCCGGCTGTGGGGCAGAGGGGAGCAGTGCCCAAGCGGGCTCAGAGGAAGCCCCCTCCCCCTCAGAGGCAGAGGGGCAGGAGGATGCATTTCCCCCGGCCCTTCTGCTCTGCCCCCCTCAAAAGGAAGAAGGGCCAAATGAAGAAAGTGGAGGGCAGAGTTCAAAAAATTGAAGAAAAAAACGA